TATATATATATATATACCTAAACTTATAGCTGTATAAGGTTTGGGCCCAAATGTTTTTTTCAATCCCTATTATTATCTAAATTTATTATACTGCTCCCTGGTATATGCCTAATTATAAATTAGGCCCACTAATTGTTTATGTAGTATACCATAATTTTCTACACTAGCTTAGTATTTGACTCAATAACTATCAATAAAATTACTTCTTCAACCTCACGATTAATTAGTATATAACTATATTTCAGGTTATTACAGAGGTGAGGCTATGCGTTCGCGATTGGGCATCGCGTTCGGGAAAGGGAAACTGGTTGGTGAGGATTTTTGCCTTCGCATTTGCGAAGTGTGGGCCACGTTCGCGAGGCTCGCCTAGTAAAGCATCGCGTTCGCGAGCTGTGACTTGCGTTCGCGAAGGGGAAGTTTTGGACAACACAATTTTGTGCTTCGCGAATGCGATGGACCTGTCGCGTTCGCGAAGAAGAAACCACTAGACAGAAAGTTTAAGTTCTGAAAATGCGACTTCGTCCCATTTTCTCTTTTTGACGAATTGGAGTTCGGGAAGAGGCAATTTTCGAGAGATTTTCAAGGAAAACAACGAGATAAGTGTTCTTAACTCAATTTTGGTCAAATTACCCGAATCAATGGTTGTTTTTAACATTTAATTGGTGATTTAAGTTGGAAGATTTAGAAAACCCTCTTGGTTTAAATTGACGATTTGAGGGTCGAGTTGATGTCGGAATTTGGTAAAATTTGTATGGTTGAACTCGTGGTTGAATGAGCGTTCATATTTTGTAATTTTTGTCAGGTTTCGAGATATGGACCCCATGAGTGATGTTTGGGTTAAATTTAAATATTTTGTTGGAAAATTTGTATTTTCATATGGAATTTATTCCAATAATTTATATTGACTGAATTGAATTAATTATGACTAGATTCGAGTAGATCAGAGTCGGAAAATCAAGGGAAAGGCATTCTTACTGAATGATTGAGCGTGGTTTGAGGTAAGTTGTCACGACCCAATTTCACCTATAGGTCGTGATGGCGCCCAATACTACAGCTAGGCAAGCCAACCCGTAATTTAAAATAACCAAGAAAATAAGCAACTATTAATTCAACCAATGTATGTGCCAAGACCTGGTATCACAAGTGTTTGAGCATTCTAGTAGATTATACAAAACCTCAAATACTGTCTGAAATAAAAATAGACAGAATGTAAATATAAGAAGGGACACCGGTAGCTGCAGAAAGGCTCAGAAAGGCAGCTCACCACTATTCCTCTGGATAACGTGGGTGTAAGGCGATAGGTCCACCACTAGTACTTGCCTCAGGTCCATGCACAAAAAATTACAGCAAGTATAGTATGAGTACATAAACAACGTATACCCAGTAAGTATGAAGCCGAATCTCGAAGTGCTAGAGACGAGATAGCCGACTTTGACACTCACTATGGGTCAATAATAATAATTAAAATAAAACTAGAATATCTAAATCAGCATGATTCACAGAATATAACAATAATTTATTTAATCAACAGAAATAATTAAATTCCTTCAAATGCAACAATTCTCAATATATTAATTAGATTCCAATAAATTTTCAAATTTATCAATTAGTCTCATTTACAAGAATAACAATAATTCCTTAACAATCAGGAATAATAATTCTTTAAATTCCAAAGATCTTCAATTTATCAATTAGCTTCACAAGTTACAATAAACTATCAAAGTATCGTATAATTATTATTATTAAGCACAATTTCTGCCGAGGTTGTTCGGCCCGATCCAGAATATCGTGTACACTGCCGAGAGCCTGGTGCGTACGTAACCCCACAATTAGCAACAATTATTACCTTAATTACCTATGCGGTAATTTTCCCCTCACAAGATTAGACAAGAGACTTACTTCGTTTTGCTCCAATTTAATCCAATAGAAGGTTTTTTTCACGATTATCCAACTCTGTCTAGCTTGAATCTGGCCAAGAATAATTCGATACAATCACTAACAATTTTAGGAATCAATTTCATAAGAAAATACTACCTTTTTCAATAAAAATCCGAAATTAATTAAAAATTTGTCTGTGGGGCCCACATCTCGAAATCCGACGAAAATTACGAAATCCGATAACCCATTCAATTACGAGTCCAACCATACCAGCTTCACTCAAATCCGACTCTGAATCGATACCGAAATCTCAAAAATTTGTTTTCTATGAGATTTCAAAAAAATTTCAAATTTCAATCTCAAAACACTAATTACATGGTGAAAACAATGATATATTTGTGTATATAGACCAAATCCGAGTTAGAATCACTTACCCCAATGTCTTTCCTTGAAAATCTATCCAAAATCATCTCTGCTCAAGCTCTAATTTGTTAAACATGGTTATAAAACTACCCAGATAGCCTTCGGAACTGTGCCTCGATCGTGGCTTCGATCATGGACCTCGAGCCTAGGCCTCGATCGTGGCTTCGATCATAGGCTCGATCCTGGACCTCGGTCATGGCCTCGATTATGGCATCGAGCCTGGTCCTTCGATCATAGCCTCGATCATGGCATCGAGCCTGAGCCTTCGATTGTGACCCTCGATTTTGGGTCTCGATCCTAGCCCTCGAGCATTGCCTTCGGTCATGGCCCTCGAGATGGACATTCGATCGTGGCTTCGATACTGAGCCTTGTCCATGGCTTCGCCTCAGGCCGTCAACCCTGGGATTGATATCTGGGCTCGATCACATCCCAAAATATCCAGCAGAAGGAAAAATTACAACAGTTTTTTAAGTCTAACTTTTGATCCGTTAACCATCCGAAACTCACCCAAGACCCTCGGGACCTCAACCAAATATACCAACAAGTCTTAAAACATCATACGAACTTATTTGAAACCTCAAATCACATAAAACGACGCTAAAGCCATGAATTATGTTCCAATTCAAGCTTAATGAAACTTAGAATTTTCAACTTCTACATTCGATGTCGAAACCTATTAAATCAAGTCCGATTGACCTCAAATTTTGCACACAAGTCATAAATGACATAAAAGAGCTATGAAAATTTTAAGAACTGGGTTTCGACTCCGGTATCAAAAGATCAACTCCCCGGTCAAACTTTCAAACTTAAATTCTTGTTTTAGCCATTTCAAGCCTAATTTAACTACGGACTTCCAAATAAAATTTCGAACACGCTCCTAAGTCCAAAATAACCATACAGAGCTGTTGGAATTGTCAAAATTCTATTCCGAGGTTGCTTTCTCAAAATGTCGATCGAAGTCAAACTTGGCCTTTTAAAGCCAACTTAAGGAACCAAGTGTTCCGATTTTAACCCAAACACTTCCAAATCCCGAACCAACCATCCCCGCAAGTCATAAATCATTAAAAGCACATACGTGAAGTTTTATTTTAGGGAACAGGGTTCTAAAGGTCAAAATGACCGGTTGGGTCATTACATTCTCCACCTCGTAAACAAATGTTCGTCCTAAAACGAGTTTAGAATTGTACCTGGAGTGTCGAATAAGTGTGGATATCTGCTCTGCATGTTTTCCTCGGCCTCCAAAGTCGCTTCCTCGACTGGTTGGCCCCTCCACTGGACTTTTACTACAGAAATCCTCTTAGACCTAAACTGGCGAACCTGTTTATCAATAATGGCAACTGGCTCCTCTTCATAACCCAAGATATTATCTAGCTGAACTGTGCTGAAGTCTAACACATGTGATAGGTCGGCATGATACTTCCGAAGCANTGAAAAACCGGATGAACTCCCGATAGGCTGGGAGGCAATGCAAGCTCATAAGCAACCTCCCCAACACGTTTCAACACCTCAAATGGGCCTATAAACCTTGGGCTCAATTTCCCATTTTTTCCAAATCTCATGATTCCCTTCATCGGCGAAACCTTCAAAAGAACTTTTTCACCTACCATAAAT